AGCTTTCGTGACTGCAAGGATTCATCTTCTTTGGTTCTTTCGGTAAAGTCACCACGTAGAATGAGAATAAAATAATAAATTGATAAAATAAAATAACACAATAAAAATTCTCACGACGTTTCGGCCACAACACAAGCGGCCTTCATCAGGTGAAGGGACGAGACTGTCTGGTAGGACAGCGCTGGAGTGAAAAAAGGCACGCTCAGATCACGACCTTATTTTATTCTCATTCTACGTGACTTTACCGAAAGAACCAAAGAAGATCTGCAGTAATTTATGTACTTACGCAATTTGTACTATTCCCTAGTTTGCACTCCTGTCGTGTTTTTGTATTTGTTTGTTTGTTGTTAACGTGCTGTCCCCCTACTGGATATCTGTTGAAAAGAGCTTCATAGCTCATCGGATTCCTCCAGGAAAAATAAAGATTCTCATTTTTTTTTAAATCTCACAATTCAAAATTCAGCAATAGATGAAGGCCTCCTCCTGTCGCATCGGTCAAGGCCTCTTTGACCATACTTCACCACGCTGATCAGTGCGCTACTGAAGGGGGAAAGGCAGAACAAGTTCCGATACCGATTGCCACTGCTTTTAGCTGTGGCCGGAAAATCGAACTCGGGTCGCCGGGTTCGTAGAGCAATGCGCTTACCAACGTAACACCGTTTCACTCTGCAATAAATTATTAATATTTAAAGTACTGCATGCATTCACGATATATTCCCCTGCTTTGCGCTTGAGGTAACACACACACGCACACACTGTGTGCATGGAGATCCAATGCATGAGCCCTCTTCAAAGTCGCATGCTTGTTGTCACGAATTTAATGGCCCACAAATAAGCCCATACAAACCACGCTCCATTGTACGTTAGTTTCCTTGAGTCGAACGCGCGACTTTCATTTGCATTGTCGACACTGCGCATACACCGGTCTCGCTGTGGCTTGGTGACTGGCCAAGTGTCCTCTAGGCAAAACCGGGTTTTTTATTCTGCAGCCAGCATTCGTCAGCCCGAGGGTCATTTGCGACTGCAGTCGAATGGCAAGCAAAATGAGCAGAGCTCGCGTGTGCATTAATGCAGCGCGTTTAAACAGCAACAGCACAGGTGTGCTGATGGAGATGCCAGATGAATGTTTTAAATTAGATTTGTATGCACCTGTGTCGTGGTGGTGGTGGTGGGTAGGGGGGGAGGGGTGAGCGGTGGAGTAGTGGGTCGCGTTACGAAGCTGGTAACTTGGGTTCAATTGCCCAGGTTATGACGAGCGTCAGTGGGGAGTGCCGTCTGAACCTTTCCCTGGGCCTCCTCTATGTCAACTCAGTTTTTAATGAGTACCTGGTGCAGTGTGTAAACATCAGCACTGGGGAGACAAAGGTGGCTGGACGTGCTGCTGCTGCTGCTGGCTACACCACCCTGTCGTGCCGTTCACGTATGGAAGGAGTGTGTGGGAGTTCGCACATCATGCCACGATCCCCTGTGCCTACGTTTGGTTCCTAATCCTACAAATCCGTACAAAATAGCAATTGTACCCGGACTCTAAAACCAGAAAAAAATATCGTAATGCCCTTTTGTTTTATTTATCCATTGGCTGCCAGTTTCGTTCTGGCAGCCACTCGTTCACGTGCACATCTGCCTTGCCTGATATAGTGCGGTGACATTTTCCTGCTCAAGCCCGCGGGTATAAAAGGTGCATTCGAAAACTCAATGCTGCGGCACCTCATTTTTTGCTCTCCCCCCCTGTACGAGCGCTACAGGAATCGCGCAGACTTCTGATTCGCACACCGTATCATTGAGGATCATTATTGCTGTGCAAGGTTTTCACCGTGGTACGTGTCTAGCTCTCTTCGGCAGGAACCGACGTTCGCAGCGCGGCGGGCGAAACATCAGACATCAGGCCGAACAACACGAGGCATAGAACCTGAAACCACATGGGGGTGAATATCAAAAATCTAATTTCTGAGATAGCGTGACGGCTACACTGTGCTTATTGGAGGCTCCGTCTGATCTTCAGGGTGCTCTCTAATTATGCAACTGCAATTGCAACAACAACAAAAAGAGCTGCCACAACCGCAGGAAGAAAACAACATGTTGCTCAGAATGCCAAAACTTAACACAGCTGGTTATGTTTTAGACAACACTGTACTGTAGTGGATTCTGAACGAGAGTCAAGTGTGTCACTGCTCAAAACAAGAGTGGGATGGTGCTCAACTCTGCTTACAGCGCTCAGACCACGATAAAAGAAATTCCGCATTCATATGGCGGAGGGAAAATCTCTCCGTGGGAAAACTGATGTTGGTTTCCCGCAGTGTCACAAATTGTATCGGCCACACAGAGGTGACCGCTTGGGTTGACCCCATCAAAGTTGCGCGAGTGACCCCCTGCAGTGAAAATAACGGTTTGTATTTTCCCACATGCCAGCATTGGTATTCATTCTGTGAGCGGCGTTCATAAATATCCATACAACTTTTAAAATGCTGAATTATTTTCCAAGAAACACCCAACTTAATATCGATATTTATGGAAAACAAACAAGTTTAAGAATGAGTTGTGCATCATTTTGAAATGTAAGATGTTTCCTCTATGGCATTGTCCTTTAGTGGATTTACTGTTGTTTTTCACATTGCAGGGGCCTTTTATTTATTAAAAGAGGCATAAATTATAGGGTTGACCTGTTGCCTTTGTGTTAGGTGACTAAAAGGCTAAATTAATAATATTGTAAACTACTTTCCTTTAAAAGCCTCCCCCGAGTCTTAAGACTTTCTGTCAGAAGGGTACTGCATTGAGAGGTTTGGCAACTCCGTAAATGAATGTTGGCAACGTGGGAGGAAACCAGAGTACCCGGAATAAAACCAAACGTATGAGGGGATAAACCTAAGTGGACCAATGATCCAAGATTATCACGTTTACAAAGATGTTCTTTTCACGGGCGACTGCGTTCATCAAAATTCTGACTGATAAAATCTCCTCGCCGGTTGATCAAACCTTTTCATGACCAAATGCAACATCAGCACGCGACGACGAATTTGCTCAAACTGCTTCGAGCCCCATCGTGGGGGTCTAGCTGCGAAAATTGAGCGGAATAAATCTGTGTGTAGACCAAACCCATTGTGTTGCTACCATATCCTGGAGCTTCAGATGCCTCACAGCACCCGGTATGCACTGGTGGTCACCCATCCAATCACTCCGCAGGCCTAACCCCCGTTAAGGTCTCCAATATCTGATGAGGCCAAGCACGTTCAGAGCAATGCAGTCTTAAGTTGAATACTGACCAGTAGGGGCTCACAGCAGCACGTGGAATGCTTAACTTGGTTTTAAAAAGGAAAAAAATCACGGGAATAATTATTACGAAAGTCCTTTTGAAGACTTTGCAGAGTGCTACATTTCATTTTCTGAAATATGGAGGTCAGTATGCCAGGCCCTAAAAACAGAGGGAGTATGTTATCTGTACACCCACACTAGCGCACCAAGTTCAAAGGGGGGTACACTTTCTATAATGTTATACATTCCAAACACGGACTTCCTAATTTACAATGCCCAAAACATGGGGATACGCTTTGTAAAAATGTCATGCTCTTACATAATGGTGCCTATGCTCGAGTGCGGGAGACAATAATAACTGTAGAGATGTCAGATAGGCATCGGAAATCATCTGTGTTGATCAAAGCAGCCCAGGGGCCCTTATGTGGACGAAACAAGATTGAACACGCCCATGGTACACTTCATGCAGAATTGTAGCACTGCAAGTCGGCAGTTTTTTTTGCCGAGTTTACAATATGTTTATTTTTCCAAGTAAACGTTAACACGGCCTCCTCGACATTCTCATTACTTCTGCCCAAAGACAGGATTGCTGTTGTCGGAAATTTCTTGGGGGGAAAAAAAAACCTCGCATGTTGTTAAGCTAAACGTGCTCTCAATTTGCTAGCCAACCCCTTGGAGTAGAATTTACAGATCTATCAACCACAAACCAACATGCGTCTTGGATAAAATAATTCCAGGGCGTTCTCTGGATTGATTTAAGGGACCATGTTCTTATCCATTTTGGGGCTCAGGGACTCGCCAATCGACAGCACCTAGCCAAAACAGTTATTTAATAACACAGGCCCCAAGGGTTAATGGAACTTTTTGTAGAGGAGTTACTTGCAGCGGGTTTATCCGCATATATCTGATCATCTTTCGGACTGTCATTAATCATTCAGTGTGAGCAAGAAATGATAATCATCACAGATATATATGGGCTTAAGAGTCACCTGTTTCAACCATCCCTGCAATCCACAACAACACATGGACAATCTCAAACAAGCACACCAATAACGAATGAATGTGTGCATTATATGAATATATAACGATATATCATCACTCCTGGATGAATAAAACGAGCACCACTTTGTGGAGAGTCAACAATAGTCATTACACCATAGGAATGTGGAATATCCCCCACTGGATCACAGACAACAATAGAGATGAATGCTACCCAAATTGACTATTCGAACAAATGCTTTGTTTTACTTAACTATCAAGAGACAACTCCTGAAAAGGAGAGCAGTGGTGCAGTGCTTGACGTATTTCGCTATGGCTAGTAACATCTAATTATGCCCATCCTATCCAGAATATTTGAGACTAAAACTGAATATTCCATGTTAGAAAGCCAGCCGGCCAGCCAAAACTTCAGGCATTTTTTATACTTCATGACAGTCAAAAAAATAATCCTATTTTATTTTACTTAACCCGTTATTCATTCAGTGATGAAATCGAGTGAGCAGGTGGTGCAAATGCGCCAGGGTCCACAGGCCAGAGAGGGGCACAGGCACGAAGCCTACACAGAGATAGGTGAAGGTCGCGACTGAGGGCCCCCCCCCCTCCCCATGCCAACCTTGCTCACGCTACAACGTTCATCACATATGTTCACACAAGCGACAATGTAAACACCTCTACAGCAGAACTTCCCGTCACCCCACAACCCCCCCCGCCCGCACCACGACGCGCGTAGCCATTGCTCGGCAGCTACTGACCAGCCCGTCGCACGTCGAGACGGCTACGGAGGAGCCCTCCATCCCGCGGAGCCTCCCCTGGTAGTGACAGCTCCTCTGGGCTGGCGACACGTCCACCCGTCGGACCGCAGCGCCGGACGACGACGACGACGATCCGTCTCCCAGCACCGTCACGGTGAAGCCCGGCGCCAGCAGCCACGGCGAGGGCTCCAGCTCGAGGCTCAAGTCCTGGCCCGATCCCAGGAGGCGGTAGCGCAGGAGGACTTCGCCTCCGGACGTCCCCAGCGAGCGCTTCTGCCGGCCGGACGAAGGGTCGAGCACGGAGCCGTCGGCGTCAACCTCGACCGGGTGGACCAGCTCGTAGTCTGCAACAAAAGGGTCAAGGTCAAGAGGTCGCGTTCGACGCTGCCACGCATCACCAATCGCTTCCGTCCCACTGGCAGATCGTGCCGCGTCCGAACGGTTGACGTGGCACGAGATCCGAGGCGGCAGTCTCCCGATGAGTCGAGGTCAAAGGTCAAAGGAGGTTGTCGTCCGCAACGTTGTGGATTCCGTGACAGCGCAGCCATTGCCTCTTTCCCTCTGCAATATCACAACGCCTGACCTCCAATGTCTACTCATACAATAGCAACAACATCGTCACCACCACCACCACCATCTATCTGGCTGTGGGTGTCACTCTTGTTAGTTATGCAGGGACCGTTTTGACAGGACCCACAGTATCCCACAATCTGGCTAGTAATTCATAGAATCGTTGATTCAAATTGTTTGGTTTCTTCCTGATGCACGTATTGAATCGAGCACAGTCGAAATGGATTATTTAAAGAGAATTAAAATTATAGGCAACTGATGTAACGCTTGCTTAAGGTAATGGAGCATATGAGGTTATAAAATGGGATTTAAAACAACCTTGGGAGACATGCAAACCGTGCAGGAGACACAATATCAGAAGCAAATATTTAATTCAGATTAAGGCACGGGATGATGACAATCCACGTCTAGGGATTTGGCCTTCCCCTTGGTTCCAACTCACCGGACATAGATACCTGTACAGGGACTACTCTACTTACGACCGTTCGACTTACAAACTTTCAAAGATACGAACAAACCTGTCCGTATGTCCGGTCGCCTGTCCGAACCGAGAGTCGTAAGTTCGACCGCCAATAGATGGCGGTGGAAGCATCTACATCTACAGAACGAGAAGAACCAGTGGCATCTACATCTAGAGGAGATAATACAATTTTTAAATCCATTCCCGGTGTTTAGACTATATACCTTACAACATGTTTGAAATCGACAGTAGTAAAGTTGGACTTAGGAACAAATTGACTTCCGAAGAGACCTCTGGAAGTTAACTGGTTCATAAGTAGAGTCCCTGTATTGGATACCTGTATTGGTAAGTTCACTACCCTCCATCCTGCACACATCTCGCCCATCGCAGCCACCTCCTCATGATTACATATATCATATTATGAACTTCCAAGTTGCTAACCCTATCCTGCCATAACCTTCTGGTGCATTTATTTTAATTGTCTAATCAGCTTATTTTGTATTTGCTTTATTGGGGAGAACAGAGGTCTGGTGGTCTGCGCACCATGCTCTCGACCCACAGACCTGGGTCCAATTCCCAGCCTTGACTAAGATCAGTGGCAAATGAGATCTCACCAACACGCACTGACCAGCCCGGTGAAGTATGATTAAATATCACCCATGACCGATATGTCATGGATAAGCCTTATCCATGAAGTGGATTGACAATGGGGAATTATTATATATATTTTTTTACATATCACAATAAACTAGATTTTGAAGAGCGGCCAAGATGATAAAAATCAAACACATATAAGTCCTATGTCTAAGAAATAACGCAGCACAAGGTGTCAGCCCCTCATCGATCTCGGACCAGTAAATTAAGCATCGTCTCGGAGCAAGTCAAACTGTTATTGTGTAATGGATGGACTGGCCCCCAGGCATAGGAATGTGGATTTATTTCCACTGCCTCAGGACCACCAACTGATAGGAGCACCATGCAATGTTCACTTGAGCAGAAGAAAAAAACTACTTTGTTCGCGTGTACAATAAACGGAGGCGTGAGTTAGTTTGTATCCGTAATGCAACTCACCAATGCATTAGTTTAACTGATTCAATAAAATTCGCTTGCTCACAAATAAATGTATGGCTCTCCATGAAATTGTTCTTATTGAGAGTGCACTCAAAATATGGGAATGGCACATTTGAGATTCTGGTGATAAAACAAAAAAAAGTATATTTCATACTGTTAAGTTGAACACGTCGCTCTTAAAATGCCTGCTCAATGCCAGACAGCGATAGAAAACAGCTGCAGTCGGATGAGAAGAGTGGGATTCAGGCACCAAGTGAAACCCAGTAAGATGTGCTGCGGCCAAACAACGGGACTTGGAAAAGACAATAGAATTAATAAACCGAACATGGGCAGCAGTTATTGAAGAGTCACTTCGGAATTGTACAGACAGGTCCTTCCCACGGCATTGAAACCAGCGCTGGACATTCATGCCCACTTCTTATCCCATCACAAGTAACATTACTAACATCAGAGCACATTGCCGTACGCAGGAAAGGAATGATATAATTCGTTTTCAGCATCCAAAATCAAAAGGTCTCCCAACTCAAATGGGTGTGCTTATCTTGGTTGGGCGGGCTTATGCCAGTGATGTAAATTCCACATTCCTGTGACAGGTCCCTGTTTATACACAGGACAAAGCGATGACGACAACAAACAACAATGGTATTCTTTATATTCAGTTTAAAGGAATGGTGATATTGATGAAACCCTGACGGGGATTTAAGCGCGGCACTTTCACACTGTCAGTTGATGCTCTCCAATCACAGCACCAGGTTAATGCATTCACTTGCCCGAAAATGTCAATCACATTTACTTTGGTATTTCTGTTAATGATTGGGCATTGAAACTGCATTGATAGACTGTGTGTTGGCCTCCAGTGAACACTGACCCCTGTTACTAAGTAAAGGGTACAACATATAAAAAAATATACATAAAGATCCCCCGTATAGCCTCAACAGACTGTTTGGGGCAAGTGCAATTAGGGAGCACCTATGAATTCCGGCACGGTACACGAGAAGGTGGGGGTGGACAGCGCCACGCCCGACCACCTTTGTCTCTCCAGTGGCGATGTTATTACACACTGCACCAGGTACTCATTTGAGGCTGAGTCGACCTAGGGGAAGCCCTGGATAATTATTGCCACTGGCGTTGGCCGTGAGCGGGAATCGAACTCGGGTCACCAGGTTCATAGCGCCGCGCGCTAACCGCTGCACCACCACTGCGAACATAGTTTAAACACACACATCTGGTGTCGTTAACAGTGGGTAATGCTCAGAAAATAATACACGATGACTATTTAATAATTTATCACTATCAGTTGTGTTCTTCGGTTTGATGTAAAACAGACTTGGATCCAGTAAACAGATGTATAATAAGACTTGGATATCGACTTAAACGTCCGGCAGACTATAGAATCCTTGAAGCAAACTGTCAGGACCGTTTCAACAATGAAAACATCAAAAAGTGGTAAACAAGACAGCCACACATGGACAAACAGAAGACATTCAGAGTTGCATTAATCGTCAAAGTCATAAGCGCATGGCAAACAAAGCCCTGTAAACTAACTGAAACCCCTCGTTTGAAAGGGCACCCTAAAAATGAATCTAATCTCCGAGTGACAAAAAAACTTGCTCGGTGTTTATTTGCCTCTGGCAGTCCATAAAGCAGTCGAGCGCCAATTAATGTGATCAGCAGGTGGAGTTTAAAAGCCGACGGGGGAGAAGGCAAACTGCATGGCCACGACAACGACTCAAGCGACGCTGACGATGCCAACAGAAAAGCGTCGAGGAGCGGAGGCACGCGAGGGGGTGGGTGGGGGGCACGCGAGGGGGTGGGGGGGGCACGCGAGGGGGTGGGGGGGCACGCGAGGGGGTGGGGGGGGCACGCGAGGGGGGGGGGCACGCGAGGGGGTGGAGGGTGGGGGGCGACAGCGCGATGCCATTCGTGTCTCGAGGAAGACGGGCCGAAGAAGTCGCGGACACTGGCTGGCCAATTGTCGAGGCACAGACACACAGACACACACAGACACACAGACACACACAGACACACAGACACACACAGACACACACAGACACACAGACACACACACAGACACACACAGAGACACACAGACACACACAGACACACACCTCAATGTCTACACTCGTCAGCACGTGCCATCGATTCGTCATACTCGCTTGTCACCGACGCCGTTGAAAGGTGCCACAGAACCGCCGACATCAACCCCCGGTCTTCCTCTCCTTTCGTGTGGCCGATGCACAGCCACAATTTCACATCTCAGGTGGGCGCGCCGGATAATTACCGCGTCGGGAGCAGCAATTTGTGCATCAGGTATCCGCAAACCGCCGTCGTTTGCGCGGATGCAGTTCAGGGTGGACCGTTAAGAAACCCACAATAATATTTCACCTTCGTTACCGCTCCACAAACCAGCGGCGTGGAGCCTCCGCTCCACGGGGCACGAGAAGGATTCCCTTGACCCAGCGCGATCTCGGCACTCGATGGGTTGGTGGCCCAAAAGCCAAGGCCGCTCAATCTGGAACTTATTTTATCCCGCGGGGATTTGGGCCCCACCCCGTTATTAGGCAACCCCGATTGGCACGGTTGGCTACGTACGGTGCGAAAGAAGTTTAACGTAGATACGTACACATAGAGGTGTTTCATGTTGTGTTGTTTGTTTTGAGTGGGGGGGTAGCGGTTAGCGCGCTGCGCAACGAACCCGGCGACCAGATGTTCGATTGCCACTCACGGTCAATACCGGCGACGATTATCTTAACCCGTCCTCCGATACTGACATTAACATTCTAATTTAGGAATAGGTTTTACCCTTTTAACTGGCACAAAAACTGACACCTTTGTTCAAGGCATCATGTTTGCAATAACCACAACACAAGCAGTCAAAATGCAAACAAAAAAGAGAACTCTGATAACATGATGCCTTGAATAAAGGTGTCAGTTTTTGTGCCAATTAAAAGGGTAAAACCTATTCCTATATCTTGTTTATGGCAAAGGAGGTCTCATAATGTAATATTCTAATTTTTCACATTAACATCACTAGCCGCCTCCCCTTCGTTTATAACCCTTAGGCTACACCCATTGCAAACCTTTAAAAGAGTCTGCCTCAGCAGCTTGACTCTTTTTTCCTCCTGATGACGACCGCTTGTGTTGCGATCGAAACGTCGTAGCTTTTTTGTTGTTACTTTATTTCAATTTATCTACGTGACTTTACCGAAAGACCCAAATAATATGAATTCCTGAAGTCTCCAAAGCTTTAAGTCAAGAGATAATGTGTTGTTACACTTTTATATATGTTTAGCTCCTCTAGATTGTTCTCTAGATTGTTCTCGAGTGAAAGCCCCCTATACCAGCAGTGGTATGAGCAATCTGTCTGTTTGTGTGTGTGTACTTTGTTGGCTTGTGAGCAGCAGTGCCACGGTGAGCACTCTGAGCTGAACCGGTCCTGGGCCTCCTCGAGGTTGATGTGTAAATATCACCACTGGGGAGACAAAGGCGGCCGGGCGTGGTGCTGGCCACCCACCTCCTATCCCGTGCAGACCTTCATAGGTGCTCGCTAATAGCACTTGCCCCAACAGTCTGTTGAAGGCTATACAGGGGATCTTTGCATTTACTAGACGTATATACAATTGTACCGAAGCGTCTGCAGTACTTAGAATAGCGGGCAGGTGGCGCTGTAGATACAATGCACAACTTCCTGTCACAACGCTGTGAGTTAAACTCCAAGTTGGTGATCGTGTGTCATCCCTTACCGTGTGCTTCTTAAACTTGTTTTCGCAACCTACCTAGCCGAGCGTCCTGCATCGGAGTTGCGGTACTGTCACTTTGTGGGAAGTTAATGGTGGTTTATTCTCAGGAGAAACCGGGCCCCTGCTGTGGGAATGTGGAATTTCCACCCTTGGCTTCAAAGACCCAAGACAGGGATGAGCCCTTTCCCGTTTGCCATTTAAGCAAAGAGACAACTTGGGCACGCGTCAGCACTCGAACGCGCACGCAAATAAGTAAGGTTTGTCACGTAAACAGAACATGCCAATGCGTGACTCGTACAGCACACCGGTGTGTTGGAGAGTAAACCCACAACATGCTAATTGTCTGTGTTGGGTGGTGGCGAGTTTAACGACACACTTATATATATGCGATAATACCCAAAAACCTCTATTGTAGATAATATTGGTCGCGAAAGCCTACGTGTTAAACAAAGTGAATTCATAAGGGGTGCTGCCACAGTGGTGTGACGCTTAACAACACCGGACTTGCAATCCAGGGATTGTATGTAGATATGTATGCTGCCACAATTATTACGAAATCGATTCGATCTCCTGGTGCAAGCAGTTGAATCAGGAGAGCAATATTCTTAAATCCTTCCCCACCTCTCTCCACCTAGCAATATAAATAGGTACACACATGCGTGAATACTCCCACCTCTTCCAATACGTCTAGGCCCGCATGGAAGAGTAGGCCAAAACACCCTCCAAAAGAGAGTATTGCCGTGAGCCCTCTTCTGCCCGGCGGTGATTGTTGGCAGGCAATTGCAGGCCTGCACCTTTGCCCCGCTATTTTCACTTCACAACAACCCAAGCTTCGCTTGCAAAAGTTGCTTTCATCGCTAATCGGCTCCCGCCTGGTTGTAAACGAACGTTCACACGTGCACGCGTATGCAAGTAGTAGCGCGTGCGTTAAGGTGAGCGTGTGGTGCTCGAACAAGCACTCTGTAATAGAGTTACTGCATTGCCTTTTCGGGTCAAACGGGCAATCTGTAATAAGAGTACTGCGTGGCCATTTCTGTGACTCCCTCTCCTGGCTGCAAAGGGACATTTGCATCTCCGTTCTGAAATGCAAATGTCACGGAAGGACTGCAGTGTTCCAAGAAGCATCATAATTCCGTGTATTGCATGAAGCAATCACCCCTGGGTCAAATACACACACTTTGAACGTGGCCAAAGCATAAATCGCACGAAGGCTGCTGCTGAATAAGGACGCAGGGAAAAGTTCAACAAAAAGCATTTCAAGCAGGGGGTTTTGTAGTGCATGCGCGCGTTTGTGTATATGTAAGTGTGGGCTTGCAGAAAACTCAATGTTTTTTTCTCTCTTCTTCCTCAATTGAGAGTGGAGATCGCAAGGATATCCCATTGTTAACGTAAAGCCAACGCATCGCACGTCGCTCGCACGACACAATAATAACGGTAATAGCAGCAACACCAAAACACAAATACTTGGCATGCACTTCAAAGCCAACGACGGGCCTTTACAAAAAGTGCCAATCACCTCCCCACCACGTGACGGTGCAACGGTAGTGACCAGACTTGCCTCCCATGAAGCAGAATCAACGTGTGTGCACGTGTGTAGCTCTTTAGAAGAGCTCTCCTTCAGTGGAGGCCCTTCTGCCAGCAGTGGTATGAGCAAGTAATTGCAGGGCTGCACCTTTATCTTCTCCTGACCATGTGTCTGCCTGTTTGTGTGTGTGTGTACTTAATTTACTTGTGGGCAGCAGCATTGCCCCGGTTCGCGCTCTGAGTTACAAAACCGGGGAACCGAGTTCGATTCCAGCTCAAGGCCAACACCAATGACGAACATCTGAATCGGTCCTGGGCCTCCCCTCGGTCGACTCAGCCTTAAATGAGTATCTGGTGTGATGTGTAAACATCACCACTATGGAGAAAAAGGTGGCCGGGCGTGGTGTTGACCACCCACCCCCCTCGTGTGCCTTCATATGTGCTCGCAAACAGCACTTTCCCCAACAGTCTGTTCAGGTTATAGCACGTAACGTTCTGGATCAGAACGTTACGTGCTACAGACTCAGTGACCTGCCATGTGCATTATTGGCAAATGTTGTCTGAACCTCTCCTAGGCCTCGCTTATGTCAGCTCAGCCTTGAATGGATAACGTACCTGGTGGCAGGGCCACTTAGTGGGTGGGTGCAAAGGGGGTCATTTGCCCCCAGGTCTCACGCAACGGAGTGCCCCATAATGGCCCTGGGGTTTTTTTATCGCTAATGAATGAGGGGCCCACAATTTGCATTCTGCTCCCGGGGCGTCATTTGAACCCCTGGTCGGCCTCTGCCAGGTGGGGGTGATATGGCCAACTTAAAGCAATGAGACGACAACGTTTACCCGTGCCTGGTGCTTTCTTGTGGTGGCACCTGCCCATGCTCGCTAACAGTCCCCATGCATCTGCATTCTGTACGGAGAAACAAGACACGTGTCTCTCTGTGCGTGGCACTGGCGGGTAGGGCATTTACCTGTGCCAAGCCCCAGGCTTTCATCCGCTAAGAAATCTTCGTTGCTGTGGGAGGGGTGGCTTCCGACGTCCGTGTCCTTCGAACCCGTCGTCTGAAAATCAGAAAAGGTAAGCGACAATTGATTGGATAGAGTATTGCACATTTCAAATACTGCAATAAAACGAGGCCTGCTCCTTCCTCCTCTGACCTTCCTTGCACGTCCGATTATCACAGTTGGCTATGTACGGTGAGGAAGAAGTTCAACATACATACATGCATGCTCTTCTCTTCTAAACAAGCAGACAGTATCCGCGAATACGCCTCCCCTTTTCTCGGTCGTGCACATGTGCCCTCGTTTTGAAGAGCGTCTGGAAATTTGCGGTTGCATTTAGATGCTACGCAAATCACAATTGTTTTGCATCAACGCAGCAAAAAAACAAAATAAACCGAATGAACTTTAATGTTTATGCCAACAAACTCGGTTTCAAAATCTTTGTTTAATGAAATGCTGTCATCTCTGGGTCATTGTTGCCGATGTGGTGCGTCTTGGGTTGTTGTTGTTGTTGAGGCACGCAATCGTTGCACACAGTTCAATGTGCGCAAAAGTTTAGACGTTATTCCAAAAGGGATTTGCGAGCGCTTATGTTTTTAGGGATCCTTTGGGAGTCTAGACAACATTTTGTTGCATTAAAAACGTGCAGATTTACAGCTGCATCGTCAGCGTGCCATGGTCAATCCACTGCTGGATGAAGGCTGCCACTACCTCTCATAACCCTGCGATGCCGTAATCCACCGAACAACCTGCACGTGACCTGATTTAATCACTCCATCTCCCAACCGCACGCCCTCTTGGATGTGTTATGCGTTACATTACCTTAGAAAATTAATACCTCAACCTCAACAATGTCTTATTTTTCAACGCATCTTTTAGGGCATTAGCATTATCACTATAATGCTTACAATAACCCACATAAAGTGCTTCCAATACATCGGTAACTAAATACAAAAGGCCATCAGCAATCATATTAGCAGCAAATAAAAGCGTATCCTTCCTCAAACATGAAATGGGGCGGCAATCTTCTCGTCTGGCGAGCATAAAGCCAGCCGTGAAAACTCCACATTCCCATGGCAGGTATTTGTCCAACGGTTAGATCTCCCCAATATTGACTTCCCATAGAGTGGTGGTTACTTTATGTATCCCAGGTATACGTTTGCGAATAGAGGGCTCTTAACATCACTAAAACGAAAATCGGCAACAAACGGTATAAGCCCCTAGATTGCACTGGCGAGGAAAGGCAATCAGTATTGGATGCCGAACTTGCGAGCCAAGCTAGCCCGAGCCAACTCACCAACCACTAGGAATGTCCCTCTCATTGACAATGACCCGATCCTGACCCATACCCAAGGCAATTCACAAAAGCCACTTACTTTCCTCTTTTAATTTCGCTTGTCGGCGGTGCTGTTTCACAGCGCCACCTGCTCGGATATTGGATTTTTACAGATAGGTACAGGTGCAGCCCTGCAACTGCTTTCTCACGCTATTGCTTGAAGAAGGGCCTCCATGAGAGGGGGGTTTCTAGATAAACGAAAAAAAAACCTCCTTCGGATGGCACCTTAACCGATTCCACGCTGCGCGAGCCAGACATCTTGGGAAGAGGTTGGCAATACCCACACTCTACCCAAGCCACATTAACCTCCCGATCGACTTAACTGCGGTATTGCGCATTTATCACCACCCGACCTACACACACACACACACAAGTATACTTATAGAGCATGCAATCACAAGTATACAAGGTTAAGGAACAGCCCTGCAATTTTGTTTAATGCTGGCCGATGGGCTTCCACTTAGCGGAGCTCTGGGGAGACCCCCACGGGTAATCTGGCCTACTCCTCCACGCTGGCCGGATGTCTTTGAAATAATACATTGCACGCATTAAATGGCATCCCTTTGGCCAGCTGAAGACAATGGGAATCATCGCATGTGCCACGTGCGCGCATGACATTGCGCGCACGTGCACAGGAAAGACGAGGACCGTGGACAAATCCGTATACACACAGTAGAGACGTTACCTACGCATAGACGATATTTAAAATAAAAAAAACCGGCGATGTCACGCCTGCACCTGCAGCAAACATTTCACACGTGTCACGCCGCCCATCAACCCCACCGCCGCCTTATCCACACCGCGCTCACGATACGCCGCCGAAATTCGCGTTCAAACATGCGACATGTGCATGCCTCATGCGCAACGTACTCACCACAACTCTCCACCCATCCCCCCACCGCCAACACTACCCCTCCACTGCCCCCTCCTCTTTCCCTATTCATCCGAGGTCCCAGCCACTTGCCTGAGCATTTGTTCCATACGCCTGCCACAGCGCGACCAGCAGCGGCAAGAGCAGCAGCATCATTAGCACCAGCAGCAGCGCGTGGCGTGGAAGACGGGCAGAGGTGATGCAGGACGCCTCCGGGATGGGCTGATGGTCTCTCTGATCCGAGGTCCCCATGGAGCGATAAGGCGCAGACTTGACTCAGGAATCCAACTCTGGGACTCGACTTACAGACTCACGCTGGTGCATTGATGATGCCGCCGCCGCTGCTGCTGATGATGATGGTGTTGGTGCTGATGGTGATTATGGTGGCGATCAGTGGTGGTGGTGGTGGTGATAATGATGAAGACACCGCCGGCATGAGTATGTTCAATTTCAAGATCGTCGTCGTCCAGCGGTGAAGACAAGAAGTCCCAGGCCGTTCGGCTTGGGGCTCTGATGCTGCTGCTCCTGCTGCTGCTGCTTCTGATGAAGAACATTGGTGGCTGGGGCGGTCTTCAAGGCGATGACACCATTCTGGCCGTGGTGGCCCGGAGCGCCCACCGACAAAGACGCGCATCCATTCAGCGCCTGCGATTTACGCATTCATAGAGCCCAGCAGTGGTCCCATGCTCGGTCAATTTTATCGCCCGTTGTAACACACATAGATATATACGTGTGTGTGTGTGTGTGTTGGCATGTATATGTTAAAGTACATACATGATTGTTTCCTTGCCTGTTCACTTTTCTCTGTCTAGAGCACGCGGCGCGCGAGCAGTTGCTAAGTGCCCTCGGAGGCAATGGAAGGCGGCTCTGTTTTCATTAAGGTCGCTCTCTCGCAGACTCGAGGAACGAACTCCCTTTTAATCACGCAGAGCGTGGTGGTGGTGGCTCATCCCCTCCCTTGGTTTTGCGGCTTGGTATCCACACCCACCAAAACCTTCTCCCTCCACCCGCCCCCACAACCACCCCCCACAGCCTCTCTTTAGCCTCCAACCCAACACCCACACACACGCACACAGCCATCCATCCACACACACACACACGGAGCTTAGCCTCCCACATGCACCCCCCAATGCACCAACCCCCACTCACTCACCCACCCACCCTTATCCCTCTTACCAGTGCAATCTATCAAACCTCTTGCCTCGCTTTGATTTCTATTGCCCGTGTAGTCTCACTGAGCCTGCTCAGCTCCTCAATTACCCAGGGCCGTGCAGCGAGCCAGCCTCTTAAGGAGGCCAGAGTAAAACAAGTCTGCCAAGTGACCTAAAGAGTCTGTTAATTTCAATAACTGCTGACATAATTGCGTGCCAATGACTGGCAGTCCTAAAACTGAAGTACACATTTCCATGTTTTGTCAAATTCACAAACCATTAACTCAAGGGTGGATATTGATTGTGCGTGCATTATTATTGATTGCAAAACAAAACTGTGGCTTTAATAAGCAAACACTTGCTAAAGAATTCCATTGCCCTCTCTGGGTTTATGCCTGCCTAAGCATTTCGGGAAAGGTGGAGAAACGTAAGACTGATGATGACAACTCGGGCTTAATTTTTCACGGAATATTATCCGCACCTCGAAAACCCCGAAACCCCGGAGGAAGGCGTATTGCCCAGAGTGGGAGTTGGGGTTGGTTTTTTTTCCGGAACTCAGGCCCGGCCAACTCGAGCAGAATATCAGTCGTGATTTTTATGCTGTAATCATACCATCGGTATAGCCCACATTTGATGTCAGGAGCATCCATGTTCTCAGGCGGCACACGCAAATCCGAATCGCCTACAGCACGTTAACCTTTATATTACAAGCATTGAATCGCACCCCAAGGATGATTCAAACGAGTTGTCGATGCTCTCCGTATAACGTTATATTTATCAAAACAAAGTAGCTCACCTGTAACAGCGACTCCATTCCGTCTGGGAGAAATACCCACCCCGTGTTTTACGGTGCCCCAGGCATGCTGGTATGAACACGTGCATTGTTAATTGCCGTTGGGCTGTGCAAGGTACTTCGGTCATTATTTGTAGTCATGCCTTGCTATGCGAAACATGTCATTAAGGGTCCTAATGCAGCATACCACCGAGGTCTATTGCTTTTCCATACACTGAAGGAGCAACATCATACGCATACATAATTTGGAGGGGGTTGCGCCGTCCAATATATGTGATATTTATATAGACGGCAGGAAATATTCATATCCACTGTTAATTCAAGCAGGCTTGTGCAGGATTCATCACTTTATACCTCGATGGCTGACGGACAAGGCTGGTGATGGAATGGGAGCCAGATGAGAGAACGCACGAAACGTTTTCTACCGTGGAGATGGAGCGACAAAATCTACATCTGTTCAGGAGCCGGACAGATTGTCACATCGCAAGGCGGTGAGATGGAAAATGGTGTAGGAGGCCATCATCCAGCAGCGGAGAGACAATGGCTGACGACGACAAATACGGATGATGACTGGTGGTAGATACATACAATTAGGTAGGAATTACATCAACGGCAAATATTTTACAAAATCGAGTCATTAGCATTTGTGAATATGACTTTATTTAATCGCCGAGGTCCAGTCTTATCTGTGCAAGTACCTTGCAAGTAACTTGCACAGCCCAAGCCCACGGTGTCGACCCAAGACACTGCTGGCGGGACGATGTCGCTCAACTGGCCTGGGAACGCCTGGGAATTCCACAGGCAGAGCTGGAGTCTGTGATAAGTAGTGTAGTGTGTAGTCGTGTAGTAGTGTGTAGTAATGTAGAGCTGGAGTCTGTCACCAGGGCAAGGGAGGTCTGGGCCACCACGACTCAACACGCTGCCGCCGCGACCCTCACCAGGACAAGCGGACTGAGAAATGAACACGCGAACGTTATTCGAAATTGATAAAGAAAATTACTTGAATTAGTCTTCTTTGGTACTTTCGGTAAAGTCACGTAGAATGAGAATAAAATAATAAAATAATAAAATAAAATAACACAATAAAATTCTCACGACGTTTCGGCCACAACACAAGCGCTGTCCTCCAGACAGTCTCGTCCCTTCACCTGATGAAGGCCACTTGTGTTGTGGCCGAAACGTCGTGAGAATTTTATCGTGTTATTTTATTCTCATTCTACGTGACTTTACCGAAAGAACCAAAGAAGATGAATCCTTGCAGTCACGAAAGCTTTAAAACGATACTTTAATTAGGTTAAAATGTGTTTGCAATTGGATCGCAAATGTACACCAATACGCACTTTAAACAGATTTGCACTAATAAGATTAATGTATAAATGTGTAATAATTATGGTACGCCAGTGTCTAAACAAAAATTGCTTGGTATACTTAAGGTTTTTTTTCTTTAAATATAAACAAGTTGTCAAAATCATACTCTTTTCCTACTGAAATGGGTCATCAGACAGTTATCAAGATAATTGTCAGCCCTGAGCCAATGGTTAAATTCCACATTCCTATGGCATCGGCCAGTCTTTTGATGAAATGACCACCACTGACATCCCACAAATTGGGATGGATTGCTTCAGTATTCTGGCAAATCGCCCGATGGTGCTGGATGTGATTACCAGAGAAACGTCGCATTCAAATTGTAAATGTTGTGGATTTACTCTCCAACACACCGGTGGGCTGAGGTAGCAACTAATTGGCGCGTTGTTTACGTGACAAACCTTACTGGCGAATAATATTGATCGCGAAAGCCTACATGTTAAAGTGGTATGAATGTTATAGCCCTTACGGAGACAAGACATGTTGAACAATCTTCAAGTTGAAAGATATTAAAATCTGCATTGAATCATGCCAGAAATGAATGTTGCGAGCTAGGTTTGTACCCAATTAATTTGCAACTCATTAACTCTACCAATTCTTTCTTGGAAAAAAAAGGTTTCATCTGCGAGGGCTCTCACTTGGTTCCACGAGGCTACTTCATCGTAAACAAAGGCTACTTACTGACTGGACGGATTTAACTCGAAGCGTCTAACGTTTATTTTGTTTTGTATCTTCCGGTAGAATGCACACATTGGTATTCGATTCGTGTATCACAGCGGCTTGTCAGCGATGGCCTTCTGTCATTCATCAGGTCGCAGGGGAGACACGCGGACAGACAAGGAAAATAAGTGCAGAATAAAGGACGGAAAACAAACAGCTCTTTCACGTGTGTCCTTACGTTGTCGCATGCAGACAGAGTTCAGCCCAACAGTCACTCATTCAACGTGCGGTGAGTTTCAGCGGTGGATTTAACGCACACACAAAAATAACCACCAACGGTGTCCGGTTACGTGCTAAGGGTCAGACACCACTCAATCCTTACCTTCACAGCGCCTTCCACGTGTCACATATGGGTCCAGAACTAACAACAGGTGGTGCAGGGTGTGGTGATCACTGCACACCTGGGTTTGTTTGAGTGGCTCGGTAGCCTCGCGGACAGCACACGCGCCACCGAGTTGCTTTGCACAGAGACAACGGTTGAATCCCCACGGGCCGCCTTGGTAATTAATATATACCGTGACCAAATTGATGTTAAAAGCCACGTGGCTTTTGTGTGCCATTGTCAGTGCTCTGCTCTTAATACCGCACGATGTATTATTATTTAGTGATGAGTAACTCATCTGAGGGGTATGGTTGATCAGCGGTTGGTGCATCGCGCTATGCACCCTGACTTTGAATCCCGACCACCACTGGTGATGCCTGAACTGGCACCGCTCCTCACCAACATGCGCCAACCTGCACTGATCAGCATGGGGAAGCATGGCCATAGAACCCCCATGGGCAACACGTCACAGGGAAGCCTTCACCCAGCAGTGGATTTACAAAAGGGCCTTTTTTTATAATTAACAGTACGTCATATGCAGTATATTTGTTCCTGCCATATTAATAGGGGAGATTTCCACCAAGAACCTCAACAGATGAGCATTCCCCCCGCACTCACTCACTCATTTGATTGGGAATATTGCAATTTAATTTCAATGGAAATGACACCATCACGTAAAGAAGGCATACTCTTGTGACTTATACCACGGGTTTCTTCAAACAAAATGATAATGAACAACAGGGGACATACAAACAGCTAGGGTCACCTCTCGATAAAAGCCATCATTGATTTCTTTATTGCGCCGTGTGTCATCCTGTTAGCAACACTCTTTGCCCTACTAACCTCCAGGACCCCTCTAACCCATGCCATCTCGAGCAACATTCGGGTTCACAGGCTTGTTGGGTGGGAAAACAGAAAAAAACTGGCTCGTGCATAGATACGCATGGCCTTACACTCTGCCAATGGTCCAATGTGAACAGTGGTGCAAAGGGCAAGTATGTTCATAAACCCACCCGTGACCTCGGTCCATAGCCCCACACCCACCCAAGTCCACCACATCCTCCTCGCCCCCGACCCCACCCAACCATCGGGACTCCCCACCTCTCCGTCACTCGCCACCATCCCACAGCTTCCCCACCACCGGCAAAGAGCAATGGTAACCGCATCCAGAGAATTTCCTTTATGTGTATGGAATTATTTCTCAACTTTTTAAAGTCTCTCTCGGAGGTGGCCCGTTCAATTTCCCGGCACGGCAGCTTCATCAAAGGGCAAGTTATATATAAATAACATCCCCTGCTTCTGCCAAACCCAGCAGTATCTCTCAACACCCAAATAATCATGGACTTAGCATTCATTTCCAATTGGCGGACGCGAGTTAATAATGTAAATTCCACATCCCGATGGAAGACGACAATTTATGCATATGACCACCAATGCTAATTTCTCAAAACGTGCTCCTCGTTTTATTGACCCCAGATGGATGTGACTTTGGTGCGGGTAAAAATAAACACAAACCCAGTGCTGGAGGCCTCCCCCAAACCATTGTCACCTTTCACGACCGTGCGATGTTAACAATCCTCCCAGCATTCGCACACGAACCAATTTCATCGCTCAATTCATATGGTGGA